ATTAGTGTGTTCTGTAAAGGTCAGACCCCAGTAAAATCCAGATTTTCTGTCTCCACAGTACAGAAAGCGCACAGCATCGAGGCGCGTTGCTACAAACCCCTCAGGAAGCGAGCTGTATTCGGAAGGTTGCTGCAGCCTGGCTGGGCCTTCAAAGGGAAAGGGTCGAGCTCAGTTTACTTAAAATAAGACTTTTTACAACCTGTAACATATCTTTTGTTTTGAACTTCCTCCTGCTCCTGGAAACTGGCTGCCATGCAAATTAAACTTGGTTTTTTCTACTGAATTACCTGTAATGCTGGCCTTTTAGAAACCCACACTTCATGTGAAGGTTTTTCATAGAGCATAAGATATTTGAGGAGCAGTAAATGCTTGTGGCACTGTTCAGCGTAGCCATCCAAAAGCCAGTGTTACAGCACTGCCCTACTTCAGCTATCTGCTTGTATGAGAATTTAAGTTTACAGGCAGAGCAGGCATGACTTTTTTCCAAATACAAGCATTAAACCCCCATTATTTTAAGGTCTTTCGTCTTAAACCCAAACACAAGCCTTCTAGAGCTGTGAAGTAGTTTTTTCACACACCTATTAGGAAAATCCTTGACTTTTTTTTCCCTCTAACCATTAAACACATTCATTCTTACACTGAGTCATAAAAATAGGTAATAAACATAACATAGATGAATTCCAAACGTTTTTACATCAAGTAATACCACATGCTGTGTCAGTGAATAAAGCAGCAGCGTCTCTCCTAGAACAAAACCAAACAGCCTTACCTGAGAGCCTCCAGAGGGTGGTTCCCTTTTGCAGGTGGTGTAAAGCTGTTGGTTCTGCAGGCCTCGGAGCTCTCCTCAGTCTGAGAATCAGGTGGGTTTCTTCCCCTGGTGCAGGAGAGCCCGAGTCATTCTCCAGCTGACCTCTTCCCCCCACAGAGGTAGCACACTGCTGTTGTCCTTAGCTGTCCCTCCAAGAGCAAAACTAGTTGATTTTGAGGCTGAGAAGAGAGATAAGCCCTCTGAAAGAGGCCACTTCCCTGCTTAAATACGGGCTTCGGGGACCCCAGCTGAGGCTGGTTACCTGGGGTGGGGCCAGTAATTAGCCTGGCTCCCTTGGCAAAGAATTAACCTGATTGAAGGAGCGTATTTAAACTTAGTTATTTAAACAAATGATGAATTTTGGCTTTTTAACTCCCAATTTCGTATGGAAGTGAGGATCACCACGTGTCCGCTAGAGCCGGGCGGTGGAGGAATAGTCGATACAGTCAGTGGAAAACGTTTTGCTGCGAAATGAGCCCCTCTGGCTCTCGAAGCCGTGCTGGAGCTCTGCAGCTATTGCTGAGCGACCCCTCCAGCGTCGTGCAGCCACCAGCCCTTACAATCAGTCGAGTGAGATAATTTTTGGCTTCGATGCTGTAAGAACACTGTGTGAGGCATCACCCACTTCCTGAACTGCACCCAGAAGTTGAAATAACTTTTAGCATTTCATAAAAAAGAGTTTACAGGGAGGCTTTTCCAAGGGTGTGCCTGCAGCCACGTGGTATGGCTGCCACCTCCCTAACCGCGGCTCCAGAATCCAACGGCTGCTTTTCCGAGAGCCCCGCTGTGGATTCCAGTTCTTTCTAACGGGGACAACATTTTGGAATGACGCTGGCGGAGGTTCTGTGTGTGTGGTGGGGCGGGGGGGAGCTGGAGCCGCTGTCGTTCTGCTGGACAGGATGACCTCTAATCGTAGCTGCGCCCGAGCAGCGTGCTGAGGTCACTTCGCCCGCCCCTCGGCCACTGTGGGAACGTTCTCTCTCAAGTACGTTCTGGACCGTAATGTCCAGTTGAGCATCAGATGACTCAGGAATTGGCTCGACATCGAGCTTTACAGTTTCCCCAAGGACTTTTTTTTTTGCTCAGCCTGCGGGAACCGGGTGAGCTGCTCTGTCCTGGGTTGCCGGTCCCGCTCCGGTATCGCTCAGTACCTGTTCATTTGGCCGGCGGTCCTCAGGCGCCGCCACGTGTCGTGCGACTGCGCGTTTTTAAGGCGATTTATTCAGCTGGACTGATCTTTTCTTCCTCAACGGCTGGCGAGTGAGCTGTTAAAGCAGTGAAACTGTATAAACCAGAGCGCTGGGACAAACACCTGCTGGGGGGTGAGGGAGCACGGGGGGGGAGAAGGGGCTGGGGCCGGACACAGATTAGCCAAAGCACCCAGTGAGGAGTATTAAACAGGGCATGAGGGCTTAGTAATTCTCCAATGGGGGGGCGTGTTTACGTGGTTTCTATATAGCTGGTGGTTTTACTTACACAGTCAGCTCTTCGAAATGAAATTTTATGTAAACGGCCAGGAAATTTGGCATTAAGTGCATAAACCCGACATCATCTCAACCTCGGAGTCTAGAGCTTCGTCATCAGTCTGATAACTTGGAACGCATTTTTTAAAAAAAAGTAACGTTAATCTTTTGTCTGGCACAAGTTCTTGTTTCCTGGCTATTTGTAGTACAACAACTTCACGTCATTTCTTTTTTTTTAGTTGACAAAATCGCTAAGATTTTTCAGAAAAATCTCCAGAGTCCCTTGTGAGGCTGCAAATATTTACTACTCCACGCAAGGCCAGCTGAAAACATGGCTTAGAAAAAAAGAAAAAAAAAATCGCCTCAGAAGATCACCTGTTACGCATATGTTTTTATTTTAAAAATAAAGCTTTAAAAATACAGTTAGTTTAATTTAAAAATACTGTGCTGCCTCTGCGAGGTGATTGCTTAGTTTTAGGGTTGAATTGCCTCTTTTTTTTTAGGTTGGGATTTTAAAATACCATGGAAACATGCAGTAGGTCAGCAGATGTGGAGAGCCCCAAGCACCTTGCGGGAACTTTGAGGGCTGGGTCCCTGCGTGAATTCTGAATTAGCTGTTTAAAACCTGCCTTGGCCACTGCTGCAGAGCTCAACCGGTCCAGCCAGCGCTGTGGGAGCGGGGGCACTTGCTGCATTTCCCGTGTCTGACCACGGGCTCGCTGCTGCTTCCCAAGGACGGCGAAAGCCGGTGCCGTGCCCGTCGGTGGCAGCCGACGCCGCTGCTGTCGTTCGAAAACCGCCTCGGTTGCAATCGGAGGAGATTTCCCAGACTGAATCCTAACAGAGGAATGACTTCAGATGAGAAAGAAAAAGATCTCACGTCTCTTGTGCCTTAGCTATTCCCCGACGGTACTACTTAGCAGTAAATGTTGTTAAAATAGTTTAAAAAAAGCTTAGACAATATGAAAAACTTCCGCTTTAAATATATTTCCAAGTGCACTGACGCAGTTTTACAGGGTGCTGCGTGTCTTCCCTGAAATATTCTCTATCCCATCTTGTTCCAGCCATTCCTTGTAACTCTGCATCTGTTTTGTTTTTAGACAGGACCCAGGGCTTCGGTCTCCTCAGTACCTTCGCGGGGGCCAACTGCAGCATCGGGTCGGAAGAGAACCCAGACACAGAAGTAAACAGTAATTCCTAGTCCTCGTTCTTTGCTCACGCTGTTTCTCGCGTCGCTCTTCCCTGTGGGGGTGGCGGTGGCTTCCTTTTTTCTTCCCCTCCTCTCTCCAGAGCTGCTTCGCAGCCCGTCGGAATGTATTTCAAAGGAAACATTGCTGAAGCCTGGAAAACCATCCGCGTTTTTCTTACCCATCCTCCTGAGACGGTTGTTCCTGGGAGGTGTCACCTCATTTTCAGGCTGTTGCCTCAGATTTTACCGGGAGACGGGCGATTCTGTGCTCAGTGTTGGGCGTTGATCACACTGACTTCAGCACCGTGTAAATCTTTTACCCCGGACAGCCCCCTGGAGCTGAGGAAAGACTCTTAAACGCTCCCTTCAAGGTGTTGTTTGTCATGACTACCCGAGAGCCGTGGTTTGTGCAAAACACAACCTGTCACTCGATAGTGTGGTTTAAAAACTAACACCCAGGCTGTCGGGGAAGGCCTTCGTGTGGCACCTCTGTATCCACGAGGTGCAGGTTTCGCACTAAGTGATAGTTAAAGCTTAATTTTTTTTAAGTCAACCCAGGAAGCACCTGATTTGCTGATGATGCTTTTTAGGTGCATTATCGGCCACTCTCCTATCTGTTTTGTTTCCTGCCAGTCCAATCCCCCGTCGGGAGACGGAGAAGAATCCCATTTGGCCGACAGAGAGGACGGAGCTGGCACCACCAGCCTGCAGCCTGACAGCGCGGCAGGTAAGCTCCCTCTCTGCCCGGCAGGGCTGGTGGAGCAGGCACCCCTGGCTGGGATGGTCCCGGAAAGCCACTGGCTTCTCCTCAATGAAAAGTAGGGCCCAGGCTTGCCAGAGCCAGCAGAGGCCAATTGTTTGGGCCTCAGGTGTTCTTGAAAACGTGGGCCTGAGTTTGGACAGGGCAGAGCCCCTGCAGCCCCACCCACGGGCAGAGATGGTTTCGTGAAATTCCCTGAGGCGCCTGGCGGGGGTGGTGGGTATCTCCAGGGGCGTCTTGGTGAGACTAAATCTTCAGGCTTTATGGCTGCAGAGAAGAATCATTACAGTTTGGTGCAGCAGGAGGTCAGGGAAGCACACTCGGCTTTGCGTCGCCCCTCAGAGGCTCACGTGTTTTAACCTGCAGGCCCTTAAATAATGGCAGCGTTCCAGGAGGTGGGGCTGTCTTCCGAGTTGTAGGGGGGAGCTCTTCTCGAGGTTGGGTGGTGGCAGCTGCGGCCTGAGCACCGTCTCATTACTCTTCAGTTTACGCTGTGGCTGTTCCTAGGCAGATCGTTTTGTAATAGGCAAGAACCCTTAAATATGGGATGAACTCAAACCAGCTCTTGCAGCGTAATGTATCAAAATTAATTACCACACGAGTCGTCCTAATGATCGATCAGTAAATGAAACATTTCTTTCCCTCCGGGGGGGGGGAGTGGGAATTTGCAAATGGGATTTGCAGAGGTTAAAATACTGTTTTATCAGAAAGGCTTTCGTACCTGCTGACAAACCAGACTGATTTACTCTAAACCACCCTCTATGCCTTTGGTTTCAGATGCCATGTTAGATATGGACATCCAAGAGTTAGCCAGCCTCACCACGAGAGACGGTGACCTGGAGAACTTCGAGAGGCTGTTTTCAAAGCTGAAAGAAATGAAAGGTAACGCGCCAGGGAGGGAGGGACGGAGCCAGGTCACCCCTACGAACCACAGCAAGGCGTGAAGGCCAGGCTGTGAGCTGGGCAGATTGTAACAGCATCCTGTTCTCCGAGGTTCTTTGTGGGTTCAGCTTTTCATCAATTAGCCCCTCAGCTTGCTAGCGCTCTTGAAGTAGCTGCTGCTCAGCTGACGGCTGTCACCCTGATTTTGTCCACCCTGAACTAATGTGACACTTTCACAAGAGGTTTTTGGGGTGTGGGGGGTTTTTTTTTTAGCTCTACACCATGTGCCAGTCTCGCAGGGTAAAGCTACGAGCATTTGAGATGCAATCCAGTGCGCTCGGAAGCGTCGGCTTGCTGCCGTTTGGGAATTGCCGTTGCTCTGAGATTCCTTCGTTACGCTCTTACACCAGTTCCGTGGTAGTCCCCTGAAACCAGCTGCAGGAGGCATTCCTCTCCCTGCTGGCTCCTGGGGCTGACAGCCTACGTCACGCTCTTTCCCACAGATAAAGCTGCGACGTTGCCTCATGAACAAAGAAAACTACACGCGGAAAAGGTGAGGTTTCGGAATTGGCGTTGAGATTGTTGAAAACGGGGGTTTCCTCCCTAAGCCGCGGTTGCTTCTCTGGTAGAGTCCCTGGGTTAAGAGCAGTAAGTGTTGAAGCTGCTTAACCTCGGGGGGTGGGTGAGCATCGTGCCTACCGACAGGGCTGCTAGATTCAGCTGCTGCTCAGCTGCCGGTTTTTTGGATGGTAAATGCAAAATCTTTGGGCGTTTAAGGGGAGTTTTTCGCCCTTTCCCATCTTTTTTTTTTTCCCACTGTTAGGTGGCCAAAGCGTTCTGGATGGCAATCGGGGGAGACAGAGACGAGATTGAAGGTCTCTCCTCGGATGAAGACAGCTGAGTTCTTCTGGAGCTGCAAGCTGTGAGCGGCAGAGCAAGCCTAAAAAGCGATTTTTCCCTGCAATGGTTATTGTGAAAAGCCCCCTTTAGCTTTAGTTGCTGTCTTTGCTTCAAGGGTTCTCTGTATCGTGGTCGTAAGTAACACATTCCACCACACCTCATGGTTACAGTGGTTTTGTCTGACGGTTCGTTTATCCTCTCAGAGACTTTCAGAAGGCGACGCATGCAGTTAAGAGGAAACAATCATTAGTTTCCGTTTTTCAAATTAACATTTGTATTGTTTCCTCCTTTGAGTTGAAATAAACCAATTTACTACCAGTTATCTTCCTACATACGGCTGGTGGTGGTGAAGTGACGACTTCATTCTAACCCCCACGTTGTGGACGTAGGCCTGTTGGATGTTTCTGTGTACCTTTGTAGCTGACTGACCCGTCGAAACAAACCGGATTTAGACGAGCCACGAAGAGAAAGCTGCCGAATTGGGCCCTGTGCTGGGCTGCTGCGCCGAGGCCGCACGGTCGATCCCGCTGAGTGCCCACGCCGTGAAAAATGGCCCACGGGCTTCGAGTTCTGTTTGCATCTGCGAGGCCCTTCCCTGGAGAGTCAGGTGCTGCGCCACGCTCCCTGCGCTGCCCCTGGAAACCGCGTTTGGGATTAAATGCCAGACGGCTTCTTGCTGCTGTTCCGGGGGGCAGGGGGGGGAGTTTTGTGCCCAAACCTGGCGGGATTCGCTGACCCGCCGCTGCTGCTGCTGCTGCTGCATTCTGTCCCAACCACCCAAAGAGAAAAGCCCCGATTTCACAACCCCCACACCGTCACCTGGTGCGGGTCCTACAGACTGACGGAGGGTCGGGGGAAGGCGCCGGGATGCAAGTCTCAAGTTGCTGCTTCGTGTATTAGGGCTTAGGAAAAAAAAAAACCCTCCTTTCTCCTCAGATTTTGTGCGTTGGTCGTCTCCTGCGCAGCCACGACTCGCTGGGGAGCAGAGACACACGAGGCGCTGGGAAGGGAGGCGTGGGCTGGGGAGGGGGAAGAGAGGAGGAAAGGGGAACGCCGCCCCGTCTGCTTTTCTGCTCCGCACCCCTGGCAGGCACAGGCAGCAGGAGCCAACAGATGCCCTGGTGAAGAATCAGCCCTTCTCTTGGCGGGGCCGATTCTTGGCTGACGCACCCCGTGAACCGGCGAGTGTTTTCCCCCAGAGCGTCCCCTTATCGATCCGCAAACGCGCCGCGTTAAGCAAGATCTCGTTTAGAAATTTCGAAATTAACTTTTCCAACGTCTGGGGGGGTGGGTTTTTTGCGTCAATAAATTTCGTGAGTCTCGAGACAGTGGCTTTCCATAAATTATTTCAGTTTTGAAAGCGCTTTCGCGGTGGTTCTTGACATTCGTTGCCTCTCAAGATTAAGCCAAGCTAAATAACGGGCTGCTTGGAGTGCTGTCAGTCATTTCCTGGGTAAAAACTGCAGCGGGTTCAACCCTTAAGAAACAGAACTGAAGCCTCGTGAGTGATTTGAAAGGCATTTCTCGCACAAAGACTGAGCAGCAGCTCCGCCGTAGTAAAAATACCTATTTTTAAGAAGAAACGTTCCTTTTACAGGGATACACGTGCAGACACTCCAGGAACCGCCCCTGCCAGGGCCGCCTCTTCCAGCCCGGATGGTACAAACCAGCTGCCGGGCCGGGCCTTTGCCATCTCCTCCCCTTCGCTCCGTCTTTTCCCCAGCGCAGAGCTGTAACAACGAGCTGAAGGCGCTTCCTTCCGAGCAGGGAGCGGGTTTCCACGTTTTTCTTGGTAGCTTTTTTTTTTTCCTTTCTTTCTAAATATCTGTTGTGCAACAGTGCTAAGTGGCAAAAGTGCAGAGTAAATTAATTGAAGGCAGTGAAGGAAATGCACTGGCATACTTTATAAAACCAATTCCTTAGGTGGCAGTTTATTTAAATTTAGTAAAATTATACAGATTAGAATCAAGTTCTTTGCTGCCTTTCTTGCAGCAGCTAAATTCCCACAAATGACGCCTTATCCCAGGAATCAGAATTAACCAGTTGGGGAACGCGCTGCTTCAGCCTGTCACGAACAGGAGGAGGAGGAGGTTTGTGCGACAGGGACCACATCCCGCAGGGAGTCGCAGCTCTCGGCGTGACGAGCACAAGCCTTGAAGGCGCCGAGCGAGCATCCGAGCGTGGTTTGAGCCGAACGAGGAGCCTGGCCCAGGAGGGGGTCGGGCCGGTAGCACCGTCCCGCAGGGAAGGCGCCCGTGTTGCGTCTGCTCGGGTTGGCCGGTCGCGCAGGCGACGCTGCGGTGCGGATCTTGCCACCGTGTCCAGGACTCTTTCAAACGTGGGTTTGTTGTAAATGTGCGTCTTGGTGGTGGCTCAGCCTGTGGTTTGAGGCAGGAGGGGGGGGGCTGGGAGCTGCTAGGACCTCGTTTGAACCACCCTTACGGAGCATCGCGTTTGTACGTCCAAGGTAACATCGCTGGCGGCTTGTTCTCTGTGTTGGGGGTTGGTTTGTTTTTTTCTGGAGAGAGGCTTTGGTTTGGGCTACGGAATTTCTTTACAAAATAGATGTTACGGAAATGAATAAAAGGGGCACTAGTGGAAAAGCAAACCTGGAAGTTGTTGTGTCTTTCCCTTGGTTTCTCGTTGTGTGCCACAGCACTGTCTAGCAACGTCACAAGAATTCCCAGCTTGGTTTTCCATCCTCAGCAGTTCTGGAGTCGTAGCTTTCCCTGGTACTGCTCCTCCCGTGCTGAACTGGAGCCGCTCTGGCACAGCTCTGCTGCTGAGCTGAGGCACTGTGCCTGCATCACAGAATGGTGGGGGTTGGAAGGGAC